GGCCTAGCATGTTGTTCTAGGTAGGCGGTATCGAGCTTCTTCTTCTTCTTCCTCTGCGATGGCATTACTCTCATCACCACCATTTCCTTCGTGTTCGTACATTGATCTTGATAAATATCATCTTTACCAAATAATGCCACAATCTTCTTCTTCGTGATTATATTGAGACTAATATCTTCTTCGTCGCTTAGCTGCATCAGATGTTGAGCTGCCTCCATCTCTCTTTCCGTAATATTTTCTTCACTACCATAAGTAATCTGTCACACCAGAACGAACACATAGAGTTCAAAATTCTGTATCAAATCTCTTGGAGATGATCAAATTCAATTCGAATCAAAAGCAAAATCAGTACACGAACAAAATCTTCGAAACCTAATCGTTACAGTTTAAACATTAATCAAGATCTGTCACAGTCCATAACCATAACTATTAACGATTTCGAAAAGCAAATGCGATTAACACACACCTCGACACCTTCTTTACCAGAGGCAGCGGCGGAAGAAGACGTTGTGTAGCCGAATCCGGATCGAGGCTTAAGTAAAGGAGGATCGTGAGACAGAAGAATCCCAAAGCCATCACGAAGAGAAGACCGATAAAACAGTTATGGATATTCTGGACTGCTTTCCTCGACGAAGAGTTTGTAGCCATCGACGGACTGAAATCCGTCGGAGATGAGAATGAAAATTTTGTCCGGGAAAAAAAGAAACAATTTGTCCCCAATTCTATTATCCAATAGAGAGGTAACATGTGTCTTCTAAAGACGTTTCTTCTCGTACCCAAATAAGAAACGTCTTCAAGTATAAATCTCTTCTTTTAATTATTTTTAATCAAAATATTGTGAAGAAACTGTCCTAAAGACCGCGTTGATGATGGTCTTAGGTTTCTATTAAAAACCAGCTTAACGGCGTTAAAGATGCTCTTAGCTTACCTGTAATCGGTCACTACTTGAAAGTTGAAACTGCATGCATCATTTCAATTGGATAATGTGGCACGTAGAGGGACATATCCCAAAGACATCCTGCTCTATTCAATTATTCATGAAGACTATTATATTCAATTATTCATCGGCCCTACTTTGAAACGTAGACCATTATATTAAAAAGTCAATGGTCGTGTGGTAGAGAAACCCTTTTTTAATTATTTGTGGGCTTGCAGCCAATAACAGCTTGGAGTCTTACAAATTGTCTGATAAATAGGTTCATTTTTTTTTTTTGAACTCTTATAAATCGCCCTTTAGTTTAAGGGACTAGTTATATCATCACTTGCGGGTTTATAGTTATATACTACTTCATTGACAAATAAAAAGAAGAAAAATTATACTAATTCTCCATGCAATAGCTGTTTTTTTTTTTATCTTTTTTTTTTAACTACTTCTTCATCCAATAGCTGTGTTATCACTATTTTCAATTATATGTTAATAATGATGTAATGGAATGGGCTTCCATAACTTTGCGACTTAACTGATCATTTGCTTGGACAGCCTGGAATGGAATCTCTGAATACATGTCTTAGGAAAAAAAAAGTAATGATATTTTTTCTTGTCGAAAATTTATGCGTAATTGTTTACAATTTTCGGAGACCAACTAATAAACATGTATGTATATAAAATTACTTTATACAAAATTCTGTTTAAGTAAATTGTGTCTGCCCCATCATTTAAAAAAAAAAATAGTCAAGCTTCTTATAATTATTTTATTGAAAATCACTACCATCTTCGTTTCACACACTGGTCAATATTCAATATACAATTTTAATGATTGATTTTAATAACAGTCTTTTTAATGAAACATACTTGACGAAAGCCAAATTGTCGATAAAGTCAAAGAAACAAAAACTTAATATATAAAAAAAAAATCATCCGCTTTGAAAGCTCTTTGTAATAATCACATTTGTGAGATAGTTGTCATTATCTACAAACGCTTGACTTCCAACTTCCAAGTTCGAAAGCATAAAAAGAAAGAGAAAAACAAATCCTCCAAAAGCTTAAAATAAATTTAAAAGCACTCTTCAAATCTCAACCGTTGTCTTGTTGTTAAGCCTGAAGGGATTGTTTGGGTTCAGCACCACGCAGTGTACCAATCCAAGCCGGTGGCTGCATCCCGGTCTGCTCATAAACCGTATCAAGAACCGGTGGCAACATCTTGTAGAGTCCAGCAATATCCTTCATACCATTACCACCACCATTCATCCCCTGATCACCACCATGGTTCCACACACTGATCTTAGGCTGCAGGTCCCTGATTGCAACCGCATTGGTCTTGGCGATATCCTGATAAACTCCATTGTTGATCATCAAGAAGTCCCTCATGGCCGAGTAATCATTGTTAACTGCACTTAGGAGAGTCTTGAGATAAGTCCCCTGTGCATTGGCCATGGCGACAAGTCCCTCTGCATCTCTCTGTTTTGAATAGAAGGCAGCATCTGCTGCAGCTTTCATGGCCTCCGCTTGTTTCTGTTCTCGTAAAGAACGGCCTCTGCTTGCTTTTGCTTGTTGTATAACTCCCAGTTTGCTTCTTGTACCTGTGTGAATCACAAGAAACAATGTCATGATCCAAAAGAGAAAGAGCAAAATCAAAAAATTCAAAGATTGAGATTATATGCATTACCTTGGTTTCATACTCAACACTGGCTTTACTTAAGAACTCTGCTTTAAGCTTCTCTGTCCGAGTCAATGCATTCATTTGCTCGACTTTAGTCTGAAGCTCAGCTTCTCTCAAAGCAACTGCCTTGGCTGCTTCAACCTCAGCCACACGAGACTCTTTAGTCAAAGAAGCCTTTTGAATCGCCAATGCTGCATCAGCCTGAGCAACAAGAGCCTCTTTCTCATTCTGAAACACTTGGACCTCAGTTTTCACCTTGATCTCTTCCTTTGTCCCTTCTCCTAGCCTCTGAGTTGAGATGATCTTAGACTCAGCGTCAATCTTTGCTGCGTTCTGGATCGTGAGCCCGGTCCGTTCTTTGGCACCGACCTCTCCCTTCATCTTTGCCTCAGCTACATCGATCTTAGCTTGGTTGGCTGCTTCCATCTGAGTCTTCTGACCCAAGTAAGAGAAGTACTCATGTCCAGGAACGTCAACGAGCTGCTTAACATTGGCGTTGTAAATCACAAGACCAAACTGGTTTAGCTCAAGTTGAACCTTGTCAAAGACTTCCTTCTTGAACTCCTTTGTTCCTACAATGTTTAAACATTCGTTTGTGATATAACCAAATTAAAAAGCAACTTCTTCTGAAAACCATATGTATACCTAATTCTAATCTAACGAACCAAAGCAAGATTCCGGTGATAAGTAGATAAAAGAAAGCGTATGTTTTACCTTTGAAGACTTCTTCCATGGTCATGGAGGCAACAAGAACACGAGTCTCTCCTTCGATAACACCCTGAACAAGCTCGTTGACGTGATTCGAGTGCTTATCGTGTTGAGACATAAGCATGGCGTACAACAAGAGAGCGTGAGGGTCATCAACGCGAGGACCGATGGTGAAAACGGCCGGGATAACAAAGGGAAGTTTCTCTGAACTCATAGCCTGAACCTCGAACGTGTAGTTCACCGGAGAAACGTCGAAGACGGTGCAAGACTGCCATGGATACACCCAAGACTTCTTCGCAAGCTTGATGTCTTTGATCCCAGCACCGGTGATCGCAAGATACTCCGACGCTCTAGCGACTTTGAAACCCATTCTTCCTCTTCCTCTTACGATTTACGGAAAACTTAGGGATTTCTTAAAACGAGAATTTCTGAAAAGGAGTTTGTTTGTGTGGGTGGAGAGATCATAGAAAGATTTACTTATACTAGTCCCTAATACGCGTCCTTAAGAAAATAAGAAGAAAAACAAATATTCTCTTCTGGTAGGACACAAACGGAATCTTCCTCTCTTTTTTTTTTGTTTTTTTCCTTTCTTTCCTCATGATTCACAGGTAGTATGTAAAAAACATTGACCCAAAAAAAAAAAATCATACTATTTCTCTTTTTATATAAATATTATGTATACAGAAAATTTTCTCCTCTTTCGGATTTTGTTTCCCTTTTTTAGATTTTATTACTTTCGGAGATATATATTCAAATTACTTTTCTTTTTATATTGTAGTCTCCGAATGGGTTTTTCCTTCACAAATTTTTTTTATTATTGCTTTAATTTGTTTCCCTTTTTGAGTTTTTGTATTCCTTTTTGGGTTGTAAGCTATGAATGAAGTTTTACCTTTGCCAGCAATACAAATACTTAACTTGGTAAATATATTGGAAAATAGATTTAATAATAATAATAATCTATTTTACAAAAGTCCATGTTATGAGTTTACTAAAAAAACCGAAATAAAATATTTTTGTCCTACCATTCTTATTTTTATTGGGTTGGGTTTCTTCAAGAATATTAGGCTTTGGTTGGTTTTTATCTTTGTTACCTATGTTTTATTCTTATTTACGCACAAATTTTCCCTATTTTTGTGGCTTTGTTTTTGTTTTCAGATATAGATATTCGGTTTTGTTTCTTTTTGTTGGGTTAGAGCATCCGCAACGCGAGTATTTACTCAGGTTTCTAGCAATTTTTTTAATTAAAAAATACAAGTAGAAGAGAAAATTTGCTGGAGACATTTCTTTAATGGGTAACGATGGAGACGTTTCTTCCCTACTTTTAATATTAAAAAAATTAGGAAGAGACCAAAGACTGTATTTGCATTGCGGATGCTCTATAAACTCAGAATGGATTTTTATCTTTGCTAGCTATGTTGTAATTTCACCTATACACAAATTTTTTCTTTATTTTTTCTTTATTTTTTCTTTTGTTTTTGAAGATAGATAATCGGTTTAGTTTTTTTTTAGGTTGTAGTGTTTTCACCTTTGTTAGTTATGTTGTCGTTTCATTTATGCATAAATTTCTTTTTCTTTGGGCCTTGTTTCTCTCTTTTTAGTTTTGTTTTCAGAGATAGATATTTGGTTTAATCTCCTTATCTATTCTGAAAACAAAACTAAAAAGAGGGAAACAAAGTCTAATATAGGTGACAAAGATAAAAACATCCAAAGCCTAATAATCTTAGAGATGTCCGACCCAATATAATAATTAAGAACGGTAGGAACCAATATTTTCTGCGGTTTTTATTAGATTCATAACATGGAGTTTTGTAAAATCGATTATTATTATTAAGTCTGTTTTCCAATATATCTGCCAAGGTAAGATTTATATGAAGAGAAAGATTGCGGCAAATTCATCCATTTTCTAAAATTATTAGTCAAAGATTCTGTTTTGCAAATATTATATTGTTAACTGTCAATAGTAAGTACTAACAAGGTATCTATTATCTAGTCAATTCCAACTAGCATATTATTGGAAAATTAGATGTTTGGTCCGATTTAGAGATTTTGATGTTATAAATGAAAAACTGAAAATAATTAAAATAACAATTTAAGACATACATATATATATAATAATATAAAGCAAACCCAAAAAGTAAACACTATCCAAAATTAAAAACAAAAATATTTACTAAATAAGTAATTGAACTCACACACCAATTGAGCTAAGACGTGTTATTCGTCTCTATATAATTGTTTTTGATCTTTTTTTTTCTTTTTTTTTATCTTTTAATTTTTCTTATCGTCTTTTTCTTATATTTCTTCATCATCTTTTATATTTATTTCTTCTTTTTCTTTCACGACTTTTTTTTAGTTTTCTCTTATTTTCTTTTATTTCTTTGTCTTTCTCCTTTTCA